AAGTATGTGAAGAGGGCTACCCATTCCTGGACTAAGGTTCATGCTGTTGGCTGAGTGAGTCCTTACTTGTCTCCTGCAACATAGTGGCCTGGAGCCTTCATCTATTCCTCCTAACTCTCTCTTCCCACCTCCCTGTAACTAACACAACATCCCCATGGGTCTTAAAGTCTTAGGAGGTTACAAAGTTCAAATAGCCTTAACCAAACTATCCCTCTATAATGATGTTTTATTTGTCACATTTAAAACCAGCAAAGGAAGATTGTGGGTGTATGGCTCAGCTGTAGAGTGCTTGCCTAGCCTGGACAAATGAGGCCCTGGATTCTATCTCCAGCACAGAAACAAACAGGAAGAGGAGGGGAGGAAGGAGAGGAGGAGGAAGACCACCAAAGGTTTGATCACACCCATGTGGTAACCAAGGAAGTTGGTGGGAGACTCTTTTTTTTCCTTTTATTGAAAATAGAATCTTTTCTCATACAATATATCCTGATTATAGTTTTCCCTCCCTCTACTCCTCCCAGTTCCTCCCCACCTCCCCTCCCCTCCCCTCCCCTCTGGATCCACTCCCTTTCGGTCTCTCATTAGAAAAGAACAGGCTTCTAAGGGATAACAACCAAGCATGACAAAATAACATATAATAAGCTGAAGCAAAAGCTATCATATTGAAGTTGAACACTGCAACCCCACTAGAGGAAAAGAGTCAGAGACCCTCTCATTTTCACAGTCGGGGGTCCCAGAAAAATACAAAGCTAATAGCTATAATACATATGCAGAGCACCTGGTGCAGACCTGCATAGGCCCTGTGCTTGCTGCTTCAGTCTCTGTGAGCTCAAATGTGCCTTGCTTAGTTGATTCAGAGGGCCTTGTTCTAGCAAGAGTCTTTAATCCCCCTGGTATGAATGTGGCAACCACAGTTTAGAGAAGGAAGCAAGGTGCCAAAGATGATTTAAGCAGTAAGTAGGGAAACTGGCTTGATTAGAATTTTTCCCTCGATTTAGTTAGGCATTATCCTCTTAGACAGATATTGGTGCTCCCTCCCCCACAAGTGTGTGAAATTTTCCCTTGTTCATAGAATGTCAGCAACAGGGCCCCTGCTTTTCACCTTGGTCCCTCCTCTGCATAAAAATGCTCTGTGCTACGCCTTTAATCCCAGCACCCGGGAGGCAGGGGCAGGAGGATCTCTGTGAGTTCGAGACCAGCCTGGTCTACAAGAGCTAGTTCCAGGACAGCCTCCATAGCCACAGGGAAACCCTGTCTCGAAAAACAACAACAACAACAACAACAACAACAACAACAACAAAAAAGCTCAGTGCTAAGAAGGTCCATGGTATGTGACTTGTATACACAGAGATGCATATATTGTCATTGGTTTCTGAAGTCTTCTGCTATACTGCTCTGTAGTACCCCCTTCTTTTTCTGACACCCTCTGCAGAACACTTGTGGATAGAGCTGTGAGGCCCGATTCCTGTTGGAACTTTCTATTACCCTGTGCCCTGACTCTTAAGCTTGTATCAATCAGTTAGGCACCTCCCCTGGGAGAGTCTGAGCTTTAATACAGATGGAATCTAGCTTGTGCCAGCTGAATGCTGTTCCTGACCTGTCCTGGCTTTGGCCAGAGCAGCAGCTGCAGAATACAACAGTTTTAAACTGCTGGCAGTCGTGCCCTGGAATCTGCACATCTGGACACAGAGGTTAGGCAGGGGCTTCAGACATTCCTGCCTCACTCGCCTCAGCCTGCCCAGTGTCACTCTTCCTGTTGGGCACATAAGCCAGTTTTTAGTCTGGGATGTGCTGGTTCCAGCCTCAGGTGAGCTGACTTAAATGTAGGTGGGGGTGTGGGTCACTTGTGACCTAGCCTGGCAGGCTGGGACATGTTAGATGGATGAAGCGAAGTACTTCAGTTCACCCTTTAATCACCAAGACATGTGTCCCTTGAATGCTCCATCTGAGAGGGAGCCTCGGGGCCTCCAGGCCTTCCTGAGATGGCGTATTGTCAGAAGTCAGTGTCCCTGACATCCTGCTGGGTAATAACCCATTACATTCTCTGGATTCTTGCTATGGAGGGCTGCTGAGGAATTCAGTCCTGAGACCTACCCCAAACTCCTTCGCTCCTTTCCTTTGTCTAGCAGCCCTCCAAAGTCTCTGCTGCTTAACCTCACTTCCCTGGGCCAATTCTGAGATTGATGGGACTCATTCCTCAGTCACAGAGGCTCATGTCGGCCAGGCCACTTTCTCTAGTTCTCCCTTTTATTCGGGACTTTGCAAACCAGATCTGGGAGGGAACACAGTTATTGGATGTTTGGCACAGTGTACCAATGGTTTTTCTCTCCCCTAGTGTTTCATTCAATGCTCCTTTTAGTGGAGGCAGTAGAGAGATTTACAACTTGCCCATTGTCAGAGTTGGTGACTGGAAACATTTTTCAGAATTTAGAATTGGTTCTTTGCTTGTCTAGAATCTGAGGGCTGGTAATGTAATGTCAAGGAAAAGAACACCGAACACTGAATTAAATGATCAGAGTTGTAGCTTCCGTTACGATACTTAATTCTGGGTCACATTGGATACTTACTGTTTTTATTTTGTGCATGCTTGTGCACCATTGCTTGAAATAATATTAATACAGGGCTGGCAAGGAGCGTGTGTGTGTGTGTGTGTGTGTGTGTGTGTGTGTGTGTGTGTGTGTGTGTGTGTGCACATGGATGGATGGATGGATGGATGATGGATGGATGGATGGATAGGTTGTGGGG